GCCAGTAAATCTTCTATCAGGCATTTTCTGAGAGTGGCTGTCCATAACGGGAAGGCTACTTTAGTGGTGCAACAGACTTCCAAACTCTCTGCTCTGGGAAATTCCCTTCCTCCTCTCTGTTTAACCTTTTATAGAAGGAGTTAACAGAGAAAATCCCTGAGTGATCTCCCAACCAGATTCTTCTATCCAGCCTAGAGAAATCTGGTCTGAAAGAACTAAGGGCTTGCATCATCTCCATCTAGTGGGCTATTTCCCAATCATTCAGGTTTCTTCTGAAAGTGGGACACCAGTCTCCTGTAACTCTATTATGGGAGAAACCTAAGATGCCAGGTGGTCTTTATTTTGAGCTACGTCATACAGGGCTGGGAATCTCTCCTTCAGAGGGCACTCTCCACGCCACCAGTCCTTCCAGAAAAGCACCTTTGATCCGTCACCAATGTCAAATTTGAATCCCTTTTTAAAATCTGTAGCTGATTTCTGAATGCCTTTCCATACTGAGAAACCATAGGATATACTGGATTCTCCTGGATCCCAGTTAAAGTTGGTAGAGCCATATTTAGCCAAAATAACTCTTTTCTTAAGGGAAATTTAACCAAATTTCCTCCAGAACCATTTGACCAAAGACTGTTAGATTCTCCTGGATCCCAGTCTTGCCTCTTCCCCAAAGACTGTTATGTTAGATTGCTCATTCCATCTCCAGAACCATTTGATTGAGTAGGCCAAGTTGAACTTTCTTAATCTCCTCACCCTTTGGCCTCCAGCTTTCCTTGGTTTACATACTCTATTCCAATTGATTAGGTGAACGTTGGACTCATCCTTCCACAGTTCCACAGTTCCACGATTCCACCCCTTCCATCCTTAATACCTTATTCCACCAGGGGATAATATAGTATTTGTAGGAATATGGAATTCGAAGGAGTCCATTGTTCAGTACATTCTAGGGCAATGAAAGCTTAGGACCAAGTGGGACCCACTCCCAAACCATAACTAAGAGAAGCAATAACCTGTGATAGGTCAAATGGCCATTGCAGCACACCACATCAGAGTCCTACAATGTGTAAATGCCAAACAGATGAAAGGAAGGGTACTGTAGTCAAAGTGTGGGAACATGTGTTGGGAAAAGGGAGAGCCTGAGTACCACAGTCCTAGGGCATGCAGTGAATTCCTACCAACCTAAAAGGGAATGGATCGACATGATCCCAAGCTTTTAAGGGTCGTTGTCAATCATGTTTGTAAAAGGGAACTTCCCAATGATGGAAGATCTCATAATCCCCATGGAACAAGAGCCTATATATAGAGAGCACCATTACGAAGAGGAGACACCGAGGTCATTTGAAGAGAAACCCTAGCAGCCCTTTTGAGAGCCTTACCCCTTACCATCTTCCTTGACACCACAGGCCAACTATCAGTCCTCCAGACAAATCTCCTTTTCGGCATAAACCTCACCCTCCCACAATATTAGTGACAAAAAGAATAGGAAATTAGAACATCATATATAGTTTCACCATTCACCTTGCAGAAATAGTGTACATCTATGGGAAGATAGGGACCAATTGGATTTTCACGTTTGAAGCATCTCGCAAGGTATTGCTTTTCAAGAGAACACCTCCTAACAGAAAGCCCCGACTCTGGATGGAGTTAGACCTATCCAAATTCATTAGAAGGGAACACCTGAGGGGGAGGGAGGCGAGAACAAAGAGCCTTAAAGAAAAGGTACAAGAGAAGAATCTGCTAGTCTAAAAAGCTCAAATTCATTTACCAAATCCTCTATAAAGGAGAAAACCTCTTCTGGGATCTTAAAAAGTCTAGCCATCTGTTCTGGTTCATGATCCCACAATGCTCACCTTACACCAAATTTCCAAGGACAACCAGCCAAAGAAATGGAAGCATTAACAGCAATAGAAAAGTCTGGAAGTTTTGATGGAAAATACAGCTCTAATAATAGATAGAAGAAGGGAGTGTCACCCCACCAAAGGCCAGTCCAGAACTTGGCACAATCCCTGTATGTTGGGTCATATTGATGGATTACAGAAAAGGACTTTTTTATCAATAATCAACCATTTCATTAATTAATTAAAAGAGATGTGTACAAGAATACATCCACCCATTAGGGAGATAACAAGTTCTTATCTCTCATCTCTAGCCTCTCAAGAGTATAGCATTACAAAGTTTCCCAGAAACATTGATCTCTCCCTAGTCCCTACCCCTTGTTTTGTTAGTGTATCAGCCATGCTGTTTGCTTCTCTTGAACCCATTGGACTCTCACTTCCATGTTTCTAGTTAACCATCTGAACTATTTAATTTCATTTCTGTAAGGCCAATGAGTTTCTCCTTTCTTTTACAACCATCCAATCACCACTCTTGAGTCTCCAACAACTAACCTGTTCAATCTCATCAACCTTGCATGACAGCCATGATTCCAGCCCTTAGAGAATTGCCTATACCAATTGGTGCCGACAATAGGGCCAAAATATGGCCATCTTCATTTCATGAATTGCAGAAAGGAATCCAATAATAAGATAATGAATTTACAAGAAGAAACTAAGGTTGTTATCCGCTCTAGTCTAGCATCCCATCAATTTGCATGAAGCCCATGTATATTTTTAATAACAAAATGCCTAAGCTTATCCATCTCTAGAAAAAAAAAGCTTCCACAACCACTTCCCTAGTAACCGAGTTCCATAAGAACGGTTTTGGTGTGAAGTCTTGCATGATTTTCTCTAGCCTTTTATTAAGTGAAACTATACTTTTTGAAATGAAATCCAGCATATTCTTCAAGAAAATTAACCATTAATTTCTTTTTCTGTTGTTGCTGAAACTGGATGAAATTTACCAAAGACAACAAGAAGCAGTTTTTATGGGATCCAATCCTGGAAGATCATCTAGGAAAACTGATCAACCATACATTTTCTAGCCAAAATGTTACAAAACATGTTGAATCTTTACATATCAATCACATGGCTAATTCCCCCCCCCCAAAAAACCATTCCTATTTTATGTTATAAACTATTAACTAATACACGATGGTTCTTTTCCCTTCAATAATTCATAACAAAGGGGAGATTGGTGGAGATGCCACTCATAGAATTATAGCAAGATGGGAAAAATGGAGGGGTGCATCTAGAGTCTTATGTGATAGGTGAAAACCACTTCAGCTAGAAGGAAAATTCTATAAAACAGTTGTAAGGCCAGCTATGTTGTATGGAGAAAAGTCTTGTGCAGTTAAGGAATAGCACGTCCAAATAAATGAGTGTGGTAGAAACGTGTATGCTTAGATGGATGAGTGGTAAAACTAGAAAAGATATCACTAGGTGGTTGCTCATGTGCATAGGAGACCATCTACAACACCCACTAGAAGAAGTCATCTGTTACAAGTTGAAGGGGCTAGAAGAGCTATGGCAGACAGAAAAGGACTTGGACGGAAGTAGTAAGAAATGATATAAGTGCCCATAATTTGACAATGGATATGGCATTCAACAAAATAGAATGGCAAAACAGGATTTATGTAGCCCACCCCATACAGTTGGGACTTGGGACAACTGGACAAGGCTTAGTTGATGATGATGATGACATGATGGTTCTTTTCTCAATATTGGCAGGTAGTGTAGAACCTTATGCTTAAGTCAAATAAAACTACTATAAAGTTAATGAGAGCTTAATATTGTACTTATGACTAGTAACTATAGATTACAATGGGATTGCAAGGAGTAGCCTAGGTAACAGCGAAAGAAAAATTAGGAATATCAGTGATAATACAAATAATAATTAATATACAACCAATAGATAAACTGAAATGAACCGGTGTTAATATTTATCCTATACATACAGTTGAAAAGGAAAAGAAAGGATAATACCCATATAGAACTAAAGAAAAAACAAAACACTTCTCTTGCAAAAAAAGGTTGAGCTCAAAAACACCACGCGGATCAAATGCCAAAAAAAAATATTACCACTAGAGTCTTGGGCCAAGTAAACCCACATAAGATATCCACAACTGAACTGTTTCTTTTATTATTTGCAAATTATACAAAAACTTAATGACTAAGTGACTAACCTTTTCTATCAAGCTAATCTAAACACAAAATAAGTCAAAGAAAGTAGAACAAATGGCCCAAATTTGACAGACTCAAGCTTCTCTTTTTTCCCAATAATCTTCCAACAAAGAAACCTACATTAAATTCTAATAAAAATGCTTCCAGCCTTCCAACAATTTATTGAAACACATTGAATAGAAATGAACTGTTTCTTCTGCTTGTTTGTAAGTTATACAGAAATTTAAGTAAAATTGTCTATCCAGTACTTCGCATTTATGGTTACTAGTTGAGTGGCACATGCATTGAATATGTAGGAAGAGAGAGATGGACGAAATTTTAGGGTGGTGGTCGTATTGACATGGGCCCAACAGGTCTTGGCATTATATAGTAAAGATTTCTATTTTCTACCTTAATGCCCACAGCATGAGGCGCTGTACTTCTTGCCCTGTTGTTCTTTTGCACTGATTTTAACTATTTGGTCTTGTAATTATAATTTATAAATGATTCTTCTCTCAATTGGAATGAAAGCAGTGGCTCAGTAGAAATGTGCTAATCTTTTCCCAATTGTTCTTGTACAGTGATTTTAAGTTTTAACAATTTAGAGTTGTAAATGATTCCTCTCTGAATTGGATTGAGGGCAGGGGGTTCGATAGAAATGTACTCCATGTTGATGCCTTTAGAGTACATGTTCCAACAAATCCTACCAACTAAAAATAAAGAAACCTTTTCATTGTAAAGCTTCTTTTTCTTCCATTTATTTAAGCAATTTGCACAATTATGAATTGACTTCTCTAATAATGTAAATCAACGAAACCCAGACAGTAAAAACAGAAATTGATCATCGAACATCAAAACGCACGGCAAGGTTTACCAAATTCAAAAGCTTCTTGCAATTTATTCAAACACTTTCAGTAAAAACGAATAATTTGACAACTCTAATAGGAAGATTGTGCGATCAAAGCTTACAGCGACGAATGCCACGAAACGACGATGAATGGCGAAGGACGGGCCAGAAGTAGAAACAATTAACAGCCCAGAGCCAAGGAAGCAAGCAAAATCCGAACTTGAAGAAGCTACGAGCGTAGCTGAGAGACTCTTCTTCGGAGAGGCCGAGAGGGCCGTCTATTGTTGGCCAGAGAGGCGCAGGGTTGTTGGAAGGGCGCATGATAAGTCCTGCTGACTCCCCAAAATGCCTTCCCTCTGCTTCGTCCTGTGCGCTCCGCGCTCTCTCCATCTCTCCGTCTTGGGTGCTTGAAAATTGAAATCTAGTTAGCAGTCGAGAACGTATCTATGTATTATGTACAAAGAGTTTTGATTGTAGGATCTCTCATCTCTGTATCACAAAGGAGGCAATGATACAGTGTAACTCAACCAGCATTAAAGCATGTTAAAAATCGTGATTAGAACCTTTCATCATTTCCAACACCGAGAATGATTTACCCCTGTAATATCAATGGAGCCCGCCTCGTTGTGGATGGATCGGATTCGACTCAATAGCAGATGTTCCTGATTCAATCCGATCGGATGTCATAAATGGTCATTCGAATCCGAATCCGGATATTTGAATGTGATTCGATTCAATTCAAATATGAAAGATTTAATAAATTATTAAAAGAAAATTATAAAATTTTATATAAAAACGAAAAATATAAGTATTTTTCAACTATTTTATCATATATATATATGTCTTTTTATACATAAATATGTTTATATATAAGTCGAATTGAATAGGAGGTGATCCGAATTCCAAATTCAATTCGGATTGGACCGGATCATTTTTGCACCGTTGCAATCACTCAGTCGATAGCTCTCTCACAACACTTTGTTATTTTTTATGGGTTCAACTATGATACGGAAAAGATATCATATCTAAAAAACATCTGACCAGTCAACTACAATCAGGTGGTAGCCTATAAGATGTTATTTATTCAAATTCATGGGTGAATTTTGATTGATCAAAACTCTTTCCATATTATATCTTTTCCGCATTATAGATTTTTCCTATTTTCGAGTACTCGGACTATGATATCCAAAAGCCATGATAACTAAAAGGACTTATAGCCAATCAACCAACCTGTCATTAAAGACACAACCAATCAAATGCTATTAATCAAAATTAAAATTATCCTAACTTGTCAAATTTCTTCCGGTATCATACCTTTCCCATCATAAAAATTGTCATTTATAATGAAGTGAAATGAGTTTGATACAAAGTGAACAAAATAAATTGAAAATCATTTATATGTAATTGAAACTTCTAAAGAATTACTTAAAGCACAGCATTTAAATCGACTTTAATAATAGATATAATATAAATTTTAAGTATACATGTGCATATAAATTTAAATCAAATTGAATAGGAAAATATTGGATTAGATGGGGGGGGGGGGGTTGTTTCATCTTTGACCAAATTATAAATGGATCAAATTCATATCACTTGTAATGAGATCGAATTCAATATTGTCATGACAATATGATGTTGGAAGGGTATGATATCAAAAGAACTTGTGAAAATCCATGATGTTGGAAAGAAATGGTACTGGAAGAGTTTTTACCAATTGAAATACATCCGTGAATTTTGATAAATTCCACACGATTGGTTAACATGTTTATGATACTGGTTGATTGGTCGCAAAGTTTTTGGATATCATGTCTTCCCGATATCAAAGACAAAGAACTTTGAATGAATCCCCATGAATTTTGATGAATAGCAACTGAATGGTTGCTACTTTCACGATGTCCGGTTGACTGGTTTTCAGTTTTTCAGGCATCATGCCTATAGTCGGTCTCTTTTAATATAAACACAAGTTCCAAAATTAAATTGCAAATAGGAGTCTTGCACTGCCTTGACAAAGTGTCAAGCTCACCAAAATCTACATATGCAAACAAGGTAGCATCCTCATATTGCCTGGTAGACAAGGTGGACACCTAGATAATGTAATTCTTTCTATGACTCTCCAATTAATGCAGTTAATTTAAATAATATTCCCTCCAATAGTATTATTAGATTTAATAATTAAATAGTTTTAATATCAAAACATATTTAAAACATTATTTATAATTTACATTTTTTATTTATTTTAAGTAAATTTATTTTTCAAAAAATATTGTTCTCTAAAAAAACTTTGGGGATTCAGGTTCTCACGGGGAACTCATCCCCCATCAGGGATCGAGGATGGAGGACAAATTTTATCCCCAAGAGGGACTGGGGATGGGGATGGGGGTTAATTTCAGAATTGGGGTCGGGGATGTGGAATATGATCCCCGCCCTAAACCCGCCCCATTGCCATTCCTATTTAAAACTTAACTACTAGAGTGCACCAGTTGCCAAAGATTTGAGCCCATGCCTTGCAACGTGAAGGACAAGTATCTAACCATTACACTACATCACTGATATTAATTATAGTTGAGCCTTGAATTTAGTTTTACCGACTTACTTGATTTAAGTGCCAATAGTTTAACAATGGATATGGCATTACATAGAATGTACTAACGGAATAGTATTCATGTAGCCAACCACGTATACTTGCGATAAGGCTTGGATGATGATGATGAACCTTGAATCTAGTTTTATTGATATATTTATTGTGATTTATGTGAGTTTTCATAGTATATCCATGAGTATCTTGATTTTTTATTTGTATCAATGTTTATCCAAATATGTTTCTTAAAATCACCTTTTCAACACTTAGTATGCTTCCTATACTTTTAAACAGTGATTACAATTTACAAACACAATGGCATCTAGCTCTAAAATTGAAGAGCTTCCATTTGATAGATATGTGTCTTGTAGTGAACATCAGGGGTTGAATGGGGCTCCAAATTGAGATCTTCATTGCCATGTACATATTGAAAAGAATGAAAGAAAGAAAAATCAATAAGTAAATAGTTTGTACAGGCAGGTGTGGAAGAGATTAATCCTAGCATTATCGAATGTATGTCATATCTAAGGGAAAAAGTGAAAGAAATGGAAAGGAAAAATTCAACAGTTAAATATCATAAAATCCACAAAAATAAAACATCTTAAGGCTCAGTATGGTAAGAGTGCAAATACAAATATAGGGTGTAAAACCTTGTATTTTGAATGTATTTTCACCCTACATATTTGCCTTTGTACTCTTTTCAATCTTAGCCTAATGAAACAAAAACAAAGCAGCACCATCTGGTTTGAAAAGAAGTTGGTTCTTAAAACAAAAATAGAAAACATGTTAATGGCTGAATATATGTCCTTTGTAAAGTGAAATCAAAAACATGTTCTTAAATTTCTGGTTTAAAGAACCTGTTTTCATCTAGTCATGTGGTATCATAGTCCATAATCATATAATTTCTTTGCTACAAAATTTGTTTTGTTAAAAAAAAAACATCGTTTTGTTGGCTTTAAAAACACGAATCGTTTTTTAAGCAAAATCAATTTGTTTTTTTTCCCATAAACAGAAAGTATACATGGTCCTCTCTACAATATTCACATCCCTTAAGGACCCCCAAAAAAGTCTATTCTCAAAAAAGATGAAAACAAATCTTCTCTAAAACATTTGACGTATCCAGGCTTTTGATCATTTCTACTGGGGTATGTGGCATTAATCATCCCCTCCTCTGAATTTGCCTTGTGAACTGTGATCAAATAATATCCCATTCCTCTCAAGACAAATGGTCCACAGGACTGCTAAATGCACAACTGCCCACAACCTTTCCCTTTATTGGAAAGACCTTGAATTTGCCAACTTGCTAAGAGCCTCAGAGATCCTTGACTGAAGCTGCACAGCACCAGAAGACAGGGATGACCTTGTAAATATGAAGCCAAAATCTGGAGGAGAAATTGCGAAAAAGGAGTAGATGTCTAGAGACTCTAGGATTCAGTCTCAACTCTCAACATTACAAAGTGGGCATAGAAGGTTAGGCAAGTTTGCTCCTTTCCTAGCAAGTATTTCCTTTGTCATAAACACTTCTCCCAGACTGTCACTCACACAAAAAATTCAGGTTAGATACCTGCCATTTTTGCTTTTTCAGGACAAAAATCCAGTTCAAGAATGTGTTTTTATTTTTCTGGTATGTCAATTTCAAAAACAAATGAGAACAAAAACATGGACACCCGCTAAGAGTTAAATTAGAGAAATAAGACTATAAAAAGCCCATGATACTGCAAATGTAGGAGAATGACAAGATTGAGAATAAAATTATACTTCCCAGTTCTTTATCTTTGAATGCAATGCTCAAGAATCTTCCATGTCTGGAACAACTCATTTGAAAGCCTCAGTTTTTAAGTACGGTGTTATATTTGATTGGGGAATAAATGGTCCGACTCTTTACTACTTTTATCATCTTCTCTGAAATTTTCTTTTGTTCTTAGTCTCAAAACTGTCCTATATTACAGTTAGCACAACACATACACACACACACACACAGGAAAAGCAACCAGCTTAAGCTGGCATTACAAAATTAGTTATTTTTTGTTGCTAATGTGTGTACACTATTATCTTGTACAACTAGCATACAACAGAAAAAAATGCAGCTTTCCTTCGAATCACACTTCCACAAACTGGAGAAAATCATTGGTGGCAAGCCCAATATGAAACAAATAGATAAAACAGAAAGGGTATTCATCCTCCAAGAGTACCCATTCTCCTTTAACGAGTTAACTGCTGAAGAAAATAGCATGCCTAAACTAATAGCATTTTTCTTTTCTTCAGCTAGAGCTTTTTGATTGATTCGTCATGATCAACGTGAAGTTCAACTGGACCTGCACTCTCATGCAGATTATCAAAATGCAGTTTGCCACATAGATCTGTCTCAAATGCATCTCAAGATTGAGATTTTTCCCACATCTTGGCTCTTGCAAAAAATACTCCTGCCAAAAGACCTGTAAAATGAAATTAAATTTTGTGAGCTTTTGGACAGAGAGACAGTATTGGACATTCCAATAGATAGGACTTACCAAAAAGAATGCTTGAAAAATTCTCCAGACTAGTTGGGACACTGAAAAGAAGGATCCCAGCAATAGAAAGAGGTATCTTATTAAGTGACCCCACAAGGCTGCACAAGGGAGGAAACCAGTAACATTGTCAGAATACATTTGATTAAAAATTTACGCTTCAACTGAACCACAATAACCATTACAAATGATATCTGTTTGTCCCATATGGTTAGGATATGGCTTGGACGATCATGATGAAAAATGATATCCGTTTATCTGAATTTGAAGTCAAATTCAATCCAAGGCAAGCTGCATTTGATCTGTTTATAATTGGATCAAATATGGATTCACCCATATTCAATCCAATCTGGCAATGCTTTTTTTGATAGATCAATCCAGCAATACTTAAGCATATACATTTATGTCTATATAAAATTAATATGTATCTATTAGTAAAGTTGGTATCAATGTTGCAGTTTCATTGAAGTCATAGGTTCAAGTCTCCTTGAAGGTATTTTCAAGTCATTTTATTCATAATATACAATATCTAAGTCACTTTTAGTTCATTCCCTTCTCACCTAAATAATAATTTGAACATTTTAGATTAATTTATTTAATGGGGTTCAATATCCAAATTTGATCCAACTCCAATTTAAATCCAACAGAAGATATAATCTGAATCTGAATATTAACAATAAATTTTAGATCTAGAATATCGGCTTTGATCCAATCCCTTTGCATATTGCAGCCCTAAGAATTTGTTATTTCTCTTTCATTGATAATGGATAAATAACTAAACATATTATATACAGAAATAGTTAAAGACTCCGATATGGAGGACCAAAGAAAACCTCCCAGCTACTACATTGCCTCAACCAACATAAAGAACATTGATTCACTAAGAGTTATGTAAAGATGTTTATCTTTTAGAGAAGGTTACTTAAGTTGGAGGTTGTAGCACCTTATCTACAGACCTCCTGACCAACTTGGCACACTGTCCAGAAGAAAACAATGAGTTGAATTGTTATAATCATCCAATGAGGCTGGCTAGTGAGTAGTGACACCAAAAGTTTCTCAGGAAAGACTAATTAAAATGTGAGTTTCATGCTCACTCCCTTACATTTCCTTGATACAGATCTATCTATCATAGAGATGCTTTTACGAGTTGGCATATCCACCATGAAATAACATCCATGAAGTTAACAGAAATTAGAATAAAACAATAACACTAATATCTCTCATAACTTGGTTCAAAATTAATATTCTAATAAATATTACCCTTGAAGCTTGATTGGACATTTCTACAAGTAGATGATGACATTATGATCTGCAGTTTACCTGTATGTTGTAGCCCCTGTTTGATGAAGAAACCACATTGATGTGAAACTGATTGCAAGGCCCAAAAAACCACTTGATGTCATCACCAGCCAGAACATAGGCATCCTTATAAGTGGCCTGCAAGTTCACTTCAGACATACATAAGGCCCAATAAGGAAAATATGAAAGAAAAAAAGAAGAGAAGCCAAATCCAACTGTCAAGACAGGCATCTTAATAGCCAGAGCAATGGCAGTGGCCAAAAGATTATTCAGTATCAGTTCAACCTATGTGTTTCTCAAGATAACACATCCTTTTTTTTGTTATCAGGCACCTTAATTACCATCACATTCTTCTTCAAACTAGCAAAGATAAAGCCTATTTAAGTTGCTGAAATCATTAAACCACTTCAGAAAATGGAACCTTTGAAGGTTTTAATGAGTTTTGCAGCAATGACCTCAACTTACTTCTAATGGGGTTTTTGTGTTTTCAATCAACTTACTCAACAACAAAACTGGTCTAACAGAGAGATACCTAGAAATTTTGAAAACCAACCCATCCTTAGAAGAGTGCAAAAATCAAGTGCATAGCTGTAAATTCTATGCATCACAACAAATTTGAGCAGACCCAAGCTGAAAGGGTGCATCATCAAGGTCATCTTTTTTTTTTTTCTCTCTCTGGGGGGGGGGAGGAGATTAATAGTTATAGGGAATTGGAAGTGTATTGGTAAAGTCACAACAGGAGGAATGATGTGCAACAAGATGAACATATTGGGGAGAATAGTATCCAAATGACACGGGCTAATGTGGATTTCAGTTATCCATATCGCGACAATGGAGAATACCAATGGACTGTCTCTTGGGACATGAAGTTGGTGTTCATGTAGGTAAATAACTGAGGACGTTGGTCACTTATAGTAGAGCTAATTAAGAACCACAAAACTAACTATACAGTAAGTTTTGAGCTAAAATAACAACAGCTTCAGTGGCCAAGGATTCAGTAAACAGTTGACTGCAAATGCACTTAAAATAAGACTACAGATGTCATTTCCTAACAGTTCGTATTAGAGTTGTTTTTTTTATTGGAAATAGTAACTTCATTAAATATTTCAAACTGTGTCAAAATATAACTGTAAACCCCTATTATGAAGTTGACCCAATTTACATACTCACTACAACACTGCCCAAAACATGTTCTCCCTTACAGTCCCTTGTTTTGCTAAGGTATCCACTAGCCTGTTAGCTGACCTTCTCCCTTGCAGTTGTAGTTCTTTCTTTGTACGGTCTTTCCAGTGATCATAGAAGCCTCTAACAGCAACATAACCTACAACTACCAGTACAACTTCTGATGTTGAGTGATTTTGTGACATTAATTCAAAAGTTCAACACCATGATGAAGCATTTTATTTATTTTCTTTTATTTTAGTTAGGTATTTGGGTTCTATTGACACTATTCTTAAAGTTTAACACATCACTAATAAAATAAAATAAAATGATCTAGATGGTTTTTTTGCCCTCAAACCTTCCTAATCACTAATCACAAATAATTTATCTCTTATGAATGTTCTGAAAAGAACTTCTCATATTTCTTGTTGTTTTTAATATTTCGCATATCACTTTTAACCCAGATTTAAAATAAATAGTAACCACTTCTAGTTGTCATTAGTCACTTCCTGAAAGAAAGAAAAGGGAAATACTTGTACACCTACACAAAAATTTCCAATTAGAATTTACAGAATTTATTGCTTTGTTATTCCTCAAAAGGTAAGCTAGATTTATAAGTCAGACTTTACTCAACTTGCATAAAAAAATTAAAAGTGAGGGAGTATTAGATTATACAGCAGCCTGTATACGAATATTAGATTATACAGCTTCCAAAGAGTGGCATTTGTTACTGAAAGAATGGCAAGTTAGAAAAAAGAAGTAATGAAAAGAAATAACTAGTTAAAATTCTTTTAACTAGTTAAAACCTGAAATCAGGATAAAAGAACTCACGTTTTGGAGAGATAATCTACTTCATTAAACACAAAAATCAGCAAAGCTCCCAGGGGCAATGAGAGGATGTTATTCAGCAAGACCATTGAAAACTCATTCAAGTTTCCAGATTTCGTCACTTGCTTTGCTGTATCCATGACCCTCCGTAGTGTTAACTGGAAGGGGAAAATATAAGAAACAATGCAAATCAAATATATATTCATCCAAGTCACAGACAAGTAGAATAAGTACCACCTACCATCATAAGAAAGATTCTGGAAAAGCTCTAAACTGAAGTGCAATAGCATCTCACAATAGATATACACAAGTACACAACAAAATGGATAACAGCCAATTAAACCCAGGACTTTAAATTAACATCCAGAGCTATAATACCAAGCTACTAGAACCAGCATCCAGTATTGGGTATGGCTGCTATGGCTATGTTCCCTAGATATGCCAAACATAATATACCTTGGAAAGAAACCATAAACTCAGTAATGCTTTCACCATTTTGTAACATTATCACCTTTTCTAATAAGTTAATACAAAAGGAAAAAGAAAATTGGGGATCCAAGGACCAAATCTTAGTTTTTACAAATCATATTTTTGTTTTATTATGTAGACTTGAACTTGACTTCTGGGCTTTTTTTGAGTATTACAATACAAAACAACAACAACAACAACAACAACAACAACAACAACAAGCATTGCTCCTTCATGATGTCTTTATCTCTAGGATCCTTCAATATTAATCTTAATTGATCATGCTACCACTTTGGAGTCACCTTCCACTACTGGTCCTCTAGTTGAGGGATTTTCCCATTATTCTTAGATCTTGTAAAACTGCTAACAATTCAGCCCTTGTTGAATCTCCATATCCCAATGTTCCAAGTAAATGTGAGTATTAAACCATCATCTAAACTCCTCCACTCCAGAATTATGAGGATTGCAATTAAATATATTACAACCATCAAAGTTCGACTTGATAAATCAAGTATCAGGCAGGTGGCAACCACTTGATCTCACATCAATCCTGGCTGTAGAGGACCATGCCACATTTTTCCAACAACTAATAATGTCTGTAATAGAGAAAGATGCAAACATGGTCATAGTTTTACCCAATGTGCCACTTTAACAGAATATCTTCAATAAGAGTATCTTTAGTTTGTAACTTGTTTGGGAAAATCCTTCCATTTCTCTCTTCAGTCTTCCCAAACAGTTCATAGCACTATTGTTTACTGCCCTCATACATCTCTCCAATACTTATTATACCTCTCCTCTTGGGTACGGAGAAGATTGATTATTGCCTTACATAAGAATAACTTCCAAAAGCTAGATGCAAATGAACAGGAGATACGTAAATAGAATGAAGATTCCACCACTTACCTTACAAAAGAAACACATGCCAGGTAAAATATACCAGTTTAGTCTCCTCTTTTGGAGATTCTCACAAGTAAATTTTCCCATTAAAAACCTAGTTTTAGGTGGGACAGGCCCTCTCCAAATAGCCTTCATTGAGGGAATGCTGATTGAGAAGAAGGATCCCTAGAAAGCTCCACAAAGAAGGATGCATGAGAGAAAAGACCCAAAGAACAAGAAGACCAAATTCAAATGTTGGGTTTTGAACTATCGAGAATAAAACCATCCAAGGAATTAAAAAAAGTTTTTTTTTATTGGAAACGGTAACTTCATTAATACAAAACTGCCCAGAACATTCTCTCCCTCACAGTCCCTTGTTTAACCAACATGTAAGCTAAACCATTAGCTGATCTCCTTGTCCATTTGAAGCACGCACCACCTATCTTCCTTGTTGTGTTGAGGATTTCCCTTATGGGCTGTCTATAATTCCAGGCTCCCAACTTACTAGATTGCAGCCACTCAATCAACAATTTAGAGTCTCCCTCTATCTCAATTTGGTGTAACCCTAACTGTTTGGCATATCTTACACCTTGAAGCAAGGCCATCACCTTTGCTCTCAATGATTCCCCCACTCCTATTGGTCCTGAAAACATAGCCACAATTCTGCCATTTTCATCTCTTAATATTCCTCCTACACTTGAAGGGCCCGGGTTACCTCTAGAACTCCCATCAAAGTTCAGTTTCACTCTTTGTTGTGTTGGTGGGGACCACAATTCCTGCACAATAGGTTTTATGGAAGTTGTAGATGCCACCACTTCCCAATTCCTATAACTGTCTTCAGCTGAGAAGTCTTTAAACAAATCCAAAGTTTTCAACCATTGAATAGTCATAATGATTATCCTTTCTATAATTTCCTCCTTGGATTTCTCCACTCCTTTAAAGATCCTATTGTTCCTTTCTTCCCAAACTGACCATAAGATAGCTGCTCTTGTGGCTCTCCACATTAATCTTCCACGTCTCTTCGGTTGCCTGAAAAGGCTTGGGTCAAAAAGGCTTGCCACGTCCGGTGGAGTTGTCCATCTGCAACCAAAGATAGAAGAGAACCAAGCCCAAATAAAGTACACAAATGGACAAAAAATTAATGGGTGTGTGATCGTCTCACTAGAGCCCAAGCAATGGCTACAAACATGGGGTGATAGGCATAAATTTGGCCTTTTTCTTTGCAACATATCTAGAGTATTGATTTTTTAGAGAACCACCTCCCAACAAAAAGCCTGAATTTTTGGGGGTATAGGCCGACACCAAATCTCCTTTGGAAGAAAGCTCCTTGTAGGGTTTGATGATTGAATGAGGACATCGAAGGAGGAACAAGTGAACACACCAGATGGGGAAGGTTTCCAAATTCTACTGTCCAAACAAGATTGATCCAAGTAGGTTGACCCTAGAAGGTTTCCAAAATCTACTGTCCCACAAGTGTACCTTCCTTGGTTATTCCCCCACACAGAAGGGTTACTGTTGTTTTGATCCGAAGACTGTCACTCGGTATGTCTCAATGGATGTCACCTTTGATGAGCTTTCTTCCTTTTATGGTTCTTCTCTGGAGAGACATTGTCCAAAGGGGGAGGATTTGTCACAGGTGTTCTCCTTTATCTCCTCGCCCTCTTTTTAATCCTAGGTTGTACCAACAGTAGAGAACCAGAAATGAGCAGATCGTTTTCCCTACAACACATGAGCCTCATGCACTTCCAGTTACAGATGAGACAACAGGTACTGTTACAGCCCCTTTGGAGCCATCCTTCCCAGACCTTGATATCCCCATTGCTATTAGGAAAGGAAAAAGGAAGTGTACTGCACATTGCATTTCCAAACACCTTTCTTATAGTTTGCTCTCTCCTTCATATTTTGCCTACCTTTCTTCTGTTGCTTCTAACCCAATTCCCAGGTCTGTGTCAGAAGCTCTTAGTATTCCAGAATGGAGGGGATGCTATGAGAACAGAAATTGATACCCTACACAAGAATGACACTTGAGAAGTGGTTGATTTGCTTGAAGGGAAGGATCCAATAGGCTGTAAGTGGGTTTTTACTATCAAATATCATGTTGATGGCACCATTGAAAGGTACAAGGCTAGGCTGGTTGCAAAAGGCTATACACAGACATATGGGATTGATTAYCTGGAGACCTTTGCCCCTGTTGCCAAGATGACTTCTACTATCTTTGGCTGCACACTCAGATTGGCCACTTTTATCAACTGGATGTAAGGAATGCATTTCTGAACGGAGAGTTACATGAGGAGGTCTATATGTCTCTTCCTCCAGGGATGTATGAAACAGGTATGAAAGGAAAGGTCTGCAGGCTGAAGAAATCTCTTTATGGACTCAAACAGTCCTCTAGAGCATGGTTTGAAAGGTTTAGGGCTGCCCTTGTTAGCTTTGGCTATGTACAGACACAGTT